GCGGATGTTGCCTGCAAAGGCCCCCTGCTGCGTTGGCCAAAGGGGTGGTGTGAGAGATGGTCCTTTGGGAACCGCGATTACTCGGGCACGCGTGTGCGGGCGTGTGTGCGCACGTATGTCCTTCCTAATTAAAACTGTTCGACAGTCAACGGCGCACTGTGTGGTAGTCTTACTGGACTTAAAATTTGAGATACAGATACGCTAAGAAACTTACTTGTTCAATACGGGGCTGTCTAGAGACACAGTATAGTTCAAATCCTGGCTAGTAGAGTTCAGAGTAAGCCATATCGCTGAGCTTGTGGACCTCGATAAATAACGTAACTGGTTGGTATCGCAGTTATCAAAGGGGCGTTTTATGCGGCACTTATGCCTTGCCTAAATAGGGCCTTCGCGCATTTCAAGAAAATTTTAGATCTTTTCAGAATTCATTATAGTTTTCCCGATAAAATCTATCCCTTGGCAGTCTTTTACAAGCTATTGAATTCGGTCTCAGGCATTTATTCTCCTTTCATAAGGCAACCTAGTTTGGTCAACCTTATTATCGTGTGCTTTTCTTGGTATGCTGTCGACACTCAATGTTTAGCGACTGCACCTATGCATCCAGGAATTGATGATGACTTCTCACACTACCAGGGGTTTTGATTGTTAGACAGTTGTAGGCTACTAAAGCAGCTGTAACAGCTGTGGCTCTTCCATCAACTAAAAAACTGTCCCGTCTTCCATGTCAACTTATCAGTCGTTGCCAATAGAATTGAATATGCAAGTTCCAGGAAGCAGTTCAGTCGTTCTTTTTAATGTGCTTTTGCATATTTGATTTGGCCAAATTTAAGATTTGCGGTTACTTAATCTCAGCGAGAACGACAGCGAATAACTGATCATTGCAACCATGAGCCTGTCTTTTTTGGTGTTTCCGGTGTTTGCCATCACCGACCGCGATTGCACGATCGACAGTGAGCGCTGCTGGCCGGAAACAGTTCCGTACCATCTTAAGTTGATACTGTAGAACCTGTTCGATCCAACGGGAGGTTATGTAATCCCCCTAGCCGCCACTAACCCCAGGATCGTGTAAAACGCGAATGGTGGTAATAGGGTTTTTAAGGGTGAGGTCTCACTGCCGACAAACAGAAAAATCTATGCAAGAAAACATAACAAAATAATTTTTTAAAAAAATCCGCCCAATTTATTCTTCTGGGCAACAAAATTGTAGCAACAAAATTGGCGGTGATACTAATAAGTAAACAAAACGCAACCCTCAGTAAATAAAAGGATTTTTTTCAGTTCAGTTCACTTTTATTAAGGGATAGATAAACAGACCTCTTCGAACTCTCTATCGGTGACAGTGGCGCTAAGAAATGCATCGATACGGCAGAAAAATTAAACAAGGAGGCTGTTTACATAAACGCAGACGAAAAGCGAACATCCATCTGTTAATATAAAACAGTAAACATTTATGGCTATTCATTTACTAAGAGTAGTATAAGTACATGTGTAATTGTAAAAAGGCAATGGCGGGATCGCTGAGGCAGCTGTCGTAGTCAAGCGAATAAAAGTATTGTCCCGGCGATCGAGTCGTCTTCTTCTCAATTTATTCCTGGAACTTGCATGTTCGCTTGTATCGGCAATGATACCTCTGCTGACCGAACAAACCATCAGCAGGTGGTGAAAACAGAGGAATACGCCGTGATTTGGAACAGGCGGTGGATGGTAGAAATGAAAATATTACGTTAAACTCTGCTGAAATCATCGTTGTGGCGGCGAGGGGGCGAAATAGCAGGGGAATTAACATTCAATGAAAAAAGGGATTATTAAAATGTAAGTAGGCTTTTCTATTTGCTTTTTTGTTAACTGAGGTAAGTCTTTTAGCTTTAGGCATGGAATAATGGAACTGACTTCTATTTTTGCTTAGAAAGGGCGATGTCTGCCACCTGTTAGACGACCCCATAATTGGAAAAATTGCAAAGGAACATGAAAAATCCCCAGCCCAAGTTATTCTTCGGCACGGACTGCAGCGTAATCTCATCGTAATACCAAAGAGTGTCACGCCCGAAAGGATTCAGGAAAACATAAAAGTGAGCTTTTAAATTACTTGCCTTTTCTGAGTGCATTAACTGGTTTACTTTGTGATTTAAAATATGTGTATGATTCGAAACTCTT